AATAATTCATTTCACAAAAAGATTTATTTTTATTGCAAAGGCAGATTTACAGAGACCGCAGAGACAGAGAGAAAGATCTGGCTCACTCCCTGGTCATCACAATGGGCTTGGGTGGAGCTGAGCCAATGTGAAGTCAAGAGCCAAGAGTTTCTTCCAGGTCTCCCACGCGGGTGCAGGGTCCCAAGGCTTTGGGCCGTCCTCGACTACTTTCCCAGGCCACAGGCAGCGAGCTGGATGGGAAGTGGAGCAGTCAAGATTCCATATGGGTTCCCAGTTGGTTGAATTGGGAAGATTAGATAATCTAGCTATTGGGCCAGGCCCACAAATACTCCTTCTTGAAGGACTTATATTACTGTTTCTGAAAGTGGTGTCTAATTCAGATTATCCATTGTGAATAGCAGTCTTTTAAGATACTTGGATATTTTAAAGTATTTTGGTTAAATTAGATTATTGGTAGAAGCTATGAGAGATCTTCAACAAGTTCATTGAGAATGTTTATCATAAAAAATATGCATGTTGTTGTTGTTGTAGCTGTTCTCATACCAGTTGTTGACCTTATTTCATGGCTTCTCATTTAAGGGTATGTATAGTGATGGCTAAGTAGAGACTACCATATCCAGATGTGGGGATACAATGCAATATGCATCCCTGCTTCCAAATCAAAGATGGACTCCCACTGAAACTGTTAGAAATGAGTAGACAATGGGATGGTGGACTGTCTGACATTGTCTGTACCAGCAATGTCGGGGCACACTTAAATAACAGATTGATGGAATTATGGTTCCTTATGAAGGACTGTATCATTGTAGCAACATGGGGACAATCTGCCGGGGGTGGGAATATGAGGGGGAATCCCAGCCTATACGAAATTGTACCATAAAATTTAAAAAAATTAACAAAAAAATTTATTCATGGATTTCACAAATATTTTTGTACCAAGATCAATCTTCTTTTTCTTTGTTTCTTTGTTTCTCTTCCTATCTTCTTTCTTTCCCCCCTCCCTCTTATCAATTTCCCCCACCCCCTTTTCTCTTCTTTCCTTTGTGTTTCTTCTTTTAGATTTATTTGTTAGGCAGATTAACACAAAGAGGTGTTCCAAGTGCTGGCTCACTTTACAAGTGACTGTAACAGATGAAGTTGGGTAAGGCCAAAGCTGGGAATTCCATTCAGGATCTCTCATTGGGTAGAAAGGGTCCCGGTAACTGAGCCATCATCTGCTGCCTTCCCGGGCCCAACAGCACAGGGTGCTTCAGGAGATTAGAACCAGCACTCTGACACACTATGCAAGCACTGTCCTAATCATCTTATTTTTAAGTTCATTTTTTTTTCATGAATGTTTTGAAGTATCCTTATATTTGACTGCAACTATCATATAAATAATAGCAAGTGTCTATTTTACCTCATTTACAGTTTTTTTTTTCTTGGAATAAATACTAAAGCATTTACTTTCCATTAAATTCTAATATCCTATATTAACCCCCACTTTTGACTTCATCATTTATACTATGATTTCCATAGGCTTTAATCTAAGAACACACTAATAAGTGTTTGTTATAAAGTCTGACGGAATTACTGATATGCTTGGTCTCCATTTCTGAAGTTACATGAGTAATTATAGGATATGAAGTACACAACATCTTACAAATTATTTTCTTATTTAAACTCACACTAATGAGAATGAAAATAATAAACTGCTACAACAAAAAATGTAATTTTTGGTGAACAACTGAACAGAACTATTTTATAATATGCTAACATTGTATATTAATAACATTTCCTTTAAGAAGGAGTTCAGATTATTATGCCTATTTCAAGTATCCTGAGTGAATATTTTTTTCTTTCTGAAAGCAGCAATTTTAATTTCCTGCTTTCTGCAAGATTTTTTTTAAAAAGAAAGGTCAGAAAAAAGAAATTCTGTCAGGATTAAGTTTGGACTAGATTTATTTTTGCTAGGCTTTGTAACACAGGTTCCCCTAATGATTACTGTGAGACTGTAGTGAAATTAAATTACCAACCTTTAAGTCTGCGAGGCAGCCTGTGCCTGCAGTATACCCACAGGGTGCCATCCGCACACCAGTCCAATCTACTGATGTACAGGGCAGAACATTTCACACAATGTTTTCTTAAAGAACATCTGTAAAAATCCTTGCAAGTACTAAGCAGTGCTTGCTAACTTAATTTTTTTTCTTCAGGTATTTTATGTGTAGCTGAAAGCCTTCTTTATAAATTATGATGGAACTAACTATATATTATGAAGCCATGGCTAAGGAATATACACTCATGATTTGTTGAGTCTGGACATTTTTTCTTGATGTAGAACTCCGTTTTTACTTATTATTATGCAAATGATAAGAGCTAAGCCATAATTTAATATATATATTGAAATATATCTCTTAAACTAGTTTTCTGAAAACTTTTTCCATATGACAGTTTTAAAATTCATCTTATGGAAGTATTTGGAAAAGCTAACTTTTAATTGGGTTCATTATTGTTTTAACTGAGTTGACAATCACCAAACAATGCAGCTGATATAATGGCTAGCATGTGCCGCCTGACTGGTAAATGCTACATTGCTTAGTGGTCTCTGGTTGCCAACTTCAATCCTCATAGTAACACCGCAAAATAGGTGTGTTTAACCTCATTTTATTGGTAAGCAAAGGGAAGACTAAAGATATTGAAATGCCTTGTCAGTTTTATGCAACTGGTGTATCTGCCCAGCTCATATCTGAGAGCAAAGTTGGTATTGGCTGTGGTTGGAGGGGGTGGGGGCTGGTGGCTGGGAATACATCGCTGAATGAAACACACAGGATTCCTTTTCTCAAGGAACTTACATTCCAGCGGCAAGGCCATTATTCACATACAGCAGTGCTAGCTTCAAACTTTTTCTTCTTGGTTCCCACACGTCTTCCCCATAACAATACTCCAAGTGAGTATGGACAGAAACTAGATCCCAGAATATGTTGTAGGAAATTAATTAATACTGGTTTGTGATTGTCAAGATTATATCAGAGGAAAATGACGTGAATGACCTGGATGTGTGAAGAATGGATAGCCCACACAGCCTAATAAACATGGAGTGTGATTGCCTGAGATGTGAGAATTTCAGAGAGCTCTAAGAATCACTGTTATCTCAGTGCATGACCTTGAATCGTCCGTGGACGAACTGATCACACTGATGACCCTCAAGTACTGCAGATGAGAATGTTGCAGCTGAGGAACTGACTTTTAAATTTTAATTAACTGAAAACTGATACTTGATTCCGTTCCCTGGGTCTTTTAGGCGTATCTGGAACAACTTGGGTATATGACTGTATTTGTGATGAAAATTTAATGCCTGAATTAAAGTGTGCCTTACTGTAAAATATACATGGATTTTGAAGACAATACAAGGAAAAAAAAGAGCATAAATTCTCACTGATTTTAAAAATACTGAATACAAATTAAAATGATGATAATTTGGATATGCTGTGACTGGCTTACATAAAAGGTTATTAAATTGGTTTGCTATTTTTAAAGTTTTTTTATTTTTAAAATTACGTAATCTAGGAAATTTCAACTTACATGGGTGGCTTACATTACATTTACATTGTACAAGGCTAAGTAGCTTTGCTGAAGGTAGTCTGGCACTTATATTGTCTTCTACCTTGATCATAAAAATATTTTCCTTGCATGGGTATTTGACATGGAGTTAAAGAACCACTGGAGAGGCATGCTGACAGCTCAAATAATTGGGTTTTTGCCACTCACACGGGGACCTGGATTCAATTCCTGGCTCTTACATTTGGCCTCAACCCAGGACTGGCTCTTGTGGGCATTTGGAGAGTGAACCAGTGGATGGGACGGCTCTCTGTCCTTCCCTCCTCCCTTGCCTTCTCTCCTATCCCCTCAGCCTGGGTCTCTCAAAACAAGAAGTTTTTCCTAATATGCCTTTTTTTGGCTTTTTGGTTGAAAGTTATACAATATTTATCATTCTTTCCATTAATATTGCCAAGTTGCAACAGAATCAACGGTCTGTATTTTAAGAAAATGGTCTCTGGACCTATTAAGAAAACTGCTGAATATATGGGAATAGAGGGTCTTCTAGGTATCTCAGTCTATTCCACATCATTCTAGATACGGCAAGAAGGCAAGACTGACTTGTTTACCTGGGCCATTTTTTTAGGACAGCATTTGCAGTACGCATCCTTGAAGAACAAGGCAATATCTCCCTCCAGGACAAACACTACATCAGTTTTGTTTGTAACAGAACTGTCGTGAATCTGACCCAGTGGCTAAATGCTTGCCTTGTATGTGCTGGGATCCCATGTGGGCACTGGTTTCTGTCCTGGCTGCTCCACTTCTCATCCAACTCCCTCCTTGTGTCCTCCATAAATCTGTCTTTCCAATAGAAAGGAAAAGAGAAGAGAAGAAAAGGAAACAAAGAACTATTACTCATGACACATCAAGGAGCATGAATATCAACATATTTTCATTGTTATTCCTTGTGTTGCGTCCAAGGAAAGAATGATATGTCATACACAGCTTGACTACATGTAAAAAAGAGTTTATTTTTATAGCTGAGGAATAATGAGCTTGAATGATTCTGTTTTTTAAAAAGATTTATTTATTTTATTTGGAAAGGCATATTTACGGAGAGAAGGAGAGACAGATTTTCTATCCTCTGGTTGCAGCCGCAATGGCCACAGCAGAGCAGATCTGAAGCCAGGAGCCAGGAGTTTTTTCCTGGTCTCCCTAGTGGGTGCAGAATCCCATGGCTTTGAGGCTGCTTTCTCGGACCATAAGCAGGTAGATATATGGGAATTTGAGCAGCCACGACATGAACCGGTACACAACTGAATCCTATCGATGGCAAGGTGAGGATAGGGCCACTGAGCCATAGTGCCAGATATTAGTTCTTTGTTTCTATCCCAGGAATTTCCTGATTTCTCTTAGCACCCAGGAAACAATAATAAGCTAACATATTACTTTGTAAGTAGGGTAAAATAAAATCCAAGAATCAGTATGATGAAATTAAATTTATTGGAATGTAAGAATTCTTTATCATTTTCAAACATTTTTGTCTTACAACTTTCAGAATTTAACTTGTTTAAATAAATATAGTTTTTATAAACAACTTGGTTTCATATAAAAGCATAGCTAGAAAAATATCAGCTTAAAAATCAGAATTATGAAATAAACATTTCAAAATTTCTACCTATTCTAGATCTATTACACACGCACTTGTATGAACTGTCAGTGCATAAGCATGCACATATTATTCCCAAGGATATGTGTACATATGTAGAAATGGAAAGTAATCCTAAGTATTCTGTGGGACTGTATTCAAAAATGTACTATATTTTCTGGAAAGTTTAGTACATAATGTTTACATAAATTGGATAAAACAACTTAGAGTACAAAAACAGATAAAAAACACAAACACAACATATTTTGATATTTCAAAGATACTTTCTTTTCTTCTCTTTTCCTTTTACCTCGAAAGTCACAAATACCTTTGAAGCAGCATGTATTGTTGTATTTTTGATTCTTTGTTGTGTTGTTAGTGAGCTTGACAGCCTAGCTGCCTGGTGATCATCCGGCTGGCCTTCCCATTCTTTTGTTTCTTCTTCTTTGATGAGTAAAGGTTTTCCTAGGGTTTGGCCAACAAGGTCACAGACTTGCTGAGCTTTACGCCTTGCATTCTCAACAGCAACGAGACACGCTTGCCGTCTTGGGAATGAACATACATACAGAAGTTATCAGTGTGAAATTCAATGAATACCTTCGCTTAAGAAACTGATAATTCAATTAAAGAAGTGCTTAAACTTACCGAAGATTCTCCACAGAATCTGGAGTATGATAGAACTGGGGTGGGCTGATGACAACAGAACTATCTAGCTTTTCTACAAGAAAGTTACAAATATTTTGCATCTTTTCAAATTCAGTAAATGTAATGCAGACCTGCAAATGAAGTGATACCTGATATTACTTCATGTCTGAGTCAAAATTTTCTCTAATGTGAGTAAAAAAAAAAGTAAAACCAGATTACACAGTCATTTTTATGGTGTGAGCGGATAAACCCACTTGATATTTACAACCAAATGAATTTATTAAAACAGGTTTTTTGCTGATGAAGCTTGCTTACACATTAACTTGAGTATTTTTAAAAAGATTTATTTTTATTTGGAAGGCAGATTTTACATAGAGAAGGAAAGAGAGAGAGATTTTCATCTGCTATCTTACTCCCGAAATGGCTGCAAAGGCCAGGGCTGGGGCAGTCTGCAGCCAGGAACTTACTGGGTTTTCCATGTGGATATAGGGCTCTAAGGACGTGGGCCATCTTCTGCTACTGTGCAAGGTGCTTTAGCAGGAAGGTGCATCAAAAGTGGAGCAGCCAGGACTCGAACTGACATACATACGGGATGGTGACAGGTAGAGGCTTAACCTACTCTACAACGCCATGGCGTGGACCCTGTCTTGAATATTTTTAAATTCCTGTTTTAAAAATAATTTATTTGTTTTATCATACAGTTCCACAGGCTCCTTTTCCTCCCTATTTTATTCATTACAATAATGTAGTCCTTCAGAAAAAAATATTGTAAGTCCACAGTTCTGCTATTTAAGTGTATCCTGACATTTTAGGTATGGAGAATGTTTTTAAACTGGAGAGTTTCTTCAGGTTTATTATATTGGGCAATTGTAACCCTGATAAAATTTTCATGAATCTTAAGTCCATGCCATGAACTTTCCAATTACGGTAATTATGTCATACTTCACTGTTGCTTTTAAGTTATATTTCCATTTCCAATAGTTCCTTTAGGATCAACCTGTAGAGGCGAATGTATTTTACTATGTTCTCTGCCTTAACTGTGGAAGCAGTCCTTGAATTCCACACTTTAAAAGCATAGTCTTTTAAAATTTTTATGGAAGATGACAAAACCTTTTCTTCTAAGGAACCCTTGTTCAAGCTCAATATATCAAACGTAAAACTATGAATAGAAGAGAGTAAGACTATAGAGAGGTGAGATGATCATATTTCATATAATGCACAATAGTTGTTTTTTATTATGAATATTATTCTGCTAAGACTAATGCTTTATCAAGCTTAAATATCAGAGCAACAAGCATAAAAAAATCCAGTGCATCATTTTAAAATGCAAAATATTTTTTCTTTAGTGAGCCAGTCTCTATTTTCAGTTAGTTTATTAGACTTTGAAAGGTTTGCTTCTTAAACAGACCATCTTGCCTCCATTTAATTACCCTTACTTTTCTTTTTTTAAAAAAGGATTTACTTATTTTTATTGTCAGCTGTACAGAGAGCAGAGACAGAGAGGAAGATCTTCTGCCTGATGATTCAGTCCCCAAGTGACTGCAATGGCTGGAGCTGTGCCATCCGAAGCCAGGAGTTCAGAGCCTCTTCTGGGTCTCCCACGAGTGTGCAAGGGCTTTGGGCCATCCTCTGCTGCTTTCCCAGGCCATAAGCAGGGAGCTGAATGGGAAGTAGGGCTGCCGGGATTAGAACCGGTGCCCAAACAGGATCCTGGCAGTTTCAACACAAGGACTTTAGCCGGTAGGCTACTGCACCAGGCCCCTTTACTTTTCTTAATATCCTGTCTGCATTTGTATTTACACTTTAACAAAGTTTATAAGATTACCAATTACCCCTTTATGCTTTCTCTCTTGCTTCCTAATATTTATTCTTTCACATTACCCACACTTCTTGCCTAAACCGAATTCCAAATTCCTAGCTCCTCTGGGTTCTAACATAATTTTCATGGCATTCTGAAAAAAAAGACTAATCTGTAACAAAAGAGAAAAGTTCAATGACTGCCTGCATCTTGGAGCTGGGGAGACACTGCTAACAAGGGGTTAGCTAGGTGGTAGAACAGGTCTAAGTATTTGTCATGGTGGTTTACAAAACTTTAAATGTTTGTCCAAATAAATGGACTGTTCCCTCCCCACAAATGTGGAGAATGTGTAGTGTATGTAAAATAAAAGTTAATTAAATTTACCATGAGGTGACAATTTTTTAATCTGAGGGATTTTTGGTACTACTAGCTCTACTTTTGTGTATATTTGAAATTTTACGTAAGAAATGTTTTAAGAGTCGAAAAACATGGCAGCAGAAGAGAGCCACAAGGAAAACAGAAATCCAAATTCTGCATGCTCAGTAGTAAGAGGATGAAGTAGAAACCATGCTACTGCTGTTAGGGGTTCTTTATACATGCTATTGTCCCTACAGTTCATTATTATCTTTTTTCATTAAAGTCAATTAATTTACATAAATGGAGGCTTTAAGGAGATTTATCTGAAGAGCGTAGATGTGACCTAGCAGTTAAGGTAACACATAGGATGGCTGTATTCTATACTCAAATGCTCGGGTTCAAGACCCAGCGTGGCTTCTAAGTCCGCCTGCCTGATGATGTGTGCCTAGGAAGTGGCTTGTAATTCATGGCTGCAGTAGGTGGGTCCCTGCCACTCATTCAGGAGACCTGGCTGAGGTATTAACTCCTAGTGTTAGCATAACCCAGTCCTGGTCTGGCCAAGTCACGGCTCTTGCTGGCAGTTAGGGAGTGAATTAGTAGTGTAATATTCATGTCCTCTGTCTTTCAAGTAATTAAATGATTATGTTGTAAAAAGAGATGTACATAAGAATAGTAGTATATCAACTTATGCAGTTACCAACTGTGCTGTTCTTCATTCTCCTGAGTAAATTCTGATTTGCAATAAACTCTTTTGGCTTACTGCAAAGTCTTTAATTGTACTTTGGTTTTGAATGTAGTTTTGTTGGATGTGAAGTTCTAGGATTTCAATTCTTTTTTTTAAATAAATAAAGACTGACTCTTTTACTGCATTTTTTCTAAGTAGAAATTTGTTGCTTTGTACTATCATTCCTTTCTATATGTCTTTTTTTCTTCTGGCTGTTTTGAGAAATATGGTGGTAATGTACACTGACACGTTTTTTTGAGTTCATGTGTTTAAGGTTAGTTAAACTTTCTGAACCTGGCAGTTTATAATTCTTATCAAACTGGGCATTTCTGTGGTTTTTATTTGGCCAGTTTTTTTCTTGCCCCATACCATCCTCCCCAGTGGGACACTGATGCAGTTTACAGTTACCAGGGGAATGGACCCAGCGGAGGTAACTGAGAGGGGTAAGGGGCTTGGAGGAAGACCAAGGTACTCAAAGGTCCCATGAGGAGGCCAGGTATGGAGAGATGAAAAGAAGCTGAGGCCTAGGGCTCATCACCTAGGGAGGATACACAGTAGAGGGAGAGACAGGACAAAGGCAGCCAACGGGTAAGAGGAGAACTCTGGCAAGGCCTATTCCTTTTCCTCCACTTTGCCCTAGGGTCCACCTTTGCACCATGCCATTTGCCCAGCCATATCAGGTCCAGGAGATGGCACATACAAAGCAGCTAGCTGCAGGACCCCAGAAGATTTTCAGACACAAGAGACCACCCCTTCTTTTCTCTCAAGGACCCTTAATTGCCAAGTCTTGTTTGCTCATGGTTATTCCTCAGGGACTGGACTGTCTTCCAGAGTTGGGGCCTGCTTTTTTTTTTTTTTTATTTACCTTAGGCTCTAAATAAAATGCATCTATGCTTGGGCCTTATAAAGTTTTTCCTAAATCCAAAACAAAGGGACCCTTTAAAGTGCATTTCCAGGTGAAAAATTAGATTTAGGAGCACTATTTTATTCAATGGAAGTATGTATTATGAAAGAACCCATGCATGGATCTCAAAATTTTTTGTATTAAAGTAAATTTATCTTTTGAATCCTACCTTCCCAAACATTTTGAAGGCTCCAAATATGAAAATTAACCTTTATCTTAAAAATTTATTTATAGCTTTTTGAGGTACAGCTGGTATGCAAAAAAAACTGTACATAGTTATATACACTCTTATGATCTGAATACATACATAAACTGTGATACTATCACAATCAAGGTAATATGCATGTTATCACTTTCAAGCTTTCTTTTGCTCCATTTTTTCAAAAATTCCATCTAAAAAGTTCACTTCCCTGATGGCTGCAACGGCTAATTTTGAGCCAGGCTGAAAGCAGAAGCCAGAAACTCAAAACTGGTTCATAACATGGTCCACAGCAGCTCAAGTACTTGAGCCATCCATTGGCTGCTTCCCAGGCAGGTTAGCAGGTAGCTGGAACAAAAGTAGAGCAGTTGGGACTCCAAAAAGTAGCATAGTGTTCTTTATGTTTAGGTTGCCACACTTACCGTCGTATGAACCCCCTACCCAGCTCTCTGCTAACTGCTCATGTGGGCCTAACGGTGATCATGTCTTAGATTGTGTGATCCGATCTCTGGCTGTCAGACAGCCATACACAGAATATAATCAGATCATTCTGAACAAATATGAACAAACACAAAACATTAAGAAGGCAAGTAGAGAGGAGGGAAGAGGAAGAGAGTTAGCCATGTTCTCATTTAGTCATGTCATACAAGCAGTTGTAATGCATCCTTCTATGACTGAAGATCAGTCCTCAGAAAACCTGGTGGTCTGAAAAACATCTGAAGCCTAGCTGTGCAGCTGTTGGGACTGCTTCCTATATACCTTATTTTAATTTTATTATTTTTTATTTTTTCAATTTTATTTTTTTAAGAAAGAACTTATTTGTTCACTTGAAAGCTCTTATCTGTTGGTTCACGTCCATGTGCCTGCAAAGGTTGTGGCTAGAGCTATGCTGAAGCCTGCAGCTGGGGACTCAGTAGCTGCAGAGGTCCAGCTCCTGGAGGTACTGCCTGCAGCCAGCCGGGTGCATGTTAGAAGGAAATCGGAAATCAGAAACAGAGCAGAGGCTCACCTCGGGCTTTCTGACATGGACAAGGCTACCTTAACTGCTACCAAATTTCCCTCCTGCAGGGTTTCCTGCTCACTAGAAAATCTTATCACTACAATTTTTATTGAGGTAGCAATTAACTATTTTTGTCTTGCTATTTTTATTCCATTAAGTGTTTTTGGCGTTTGGCTTGGTGATTAAGACGCTGGTTAGGATACCTATATTCTACACATCAGAGTCTGGCTTTGATTTCTGCCTCTGGATCCTGACTCCAGCATCCTGCTCATGTGTACCCCAGAAGGTGGCAGATGATAGCTCACAGAATTGGGAAGCCTGGAATGTATCCCTGGATCATTGCATTCCTGGATCTTGCCTACCATCCCAGCCTAGCCGCCACTGGGAATTAGGGTTATTAACCAGTAGATTGGGCTTTTCTCTCTAGTTCTCCGATAAAGTAAAATATTTCTCACAAGTTTTATTAAATATCACACAAATATCACTCCAAAATTTGTTAAGAAACCAGATGTTTTATCAATAGAGTATTTCTCTTGTACATTTCAGTTAAAGAATAAAAATAAATGGTAATTATCTCCACAAAATCATGCTGTTTCCATTATTTGTTAAGAAAAGTACATACCTCTGCTTCCATGTGATAAGCATTTTCTACTCTTCTAAAATCCTTTGTCACAGTTACATTTGCTGTCTGAAACATAGAGTGCAATTACCAAATGTTTGGTTACTAAATGAAATCACTTTTAAACATAAATCAGAAATTCAAAAAATCAGGAAGATACAAAGTATGCATAAAGAGTAGTTTTGTCTGAGAACTTTCTTGAAAGCTAAAAAAAATAAACAGAAAAGTACTAGGAGGCAGAATAGGGTGAGAACAGATGAAAATGGACAGAGAAGGATTCACCAAGAGCAGGGAGGGTGTGATCCAGTCAAACAGCAGAAGACAAACTGACAGCAGAGGGACATGTGGGGACCAAAGGACAGATGGAAGCGGCAGAGACAGCGGAACGGTGCTGCAGTAAACATACTCCAGTGGCAATCAATCAGATGACAGATTAATGGACTGGGTCAAAACACAGGACCCATCTAATTGTGGACTACACAGACACATCTCAGCAACAAAGATATGTGGAAACTGAAAGTGAGAGTATGGAAAACAATATTCCAGACTAATGTAAAGGAAAAACAAGCAGCTGTAGTCATTCTAATATCAAATAATGCAGACTTTGAAGTGAAAAGCATGAGAGATGAAGAAAAATACAACATAATGATCAAGGCATCCATTCAACAGGAAGAAATCATTATAATAAATGTATATATACCAAATGCCAGGGAATCTAGCTATGTGAAACAAATATTCATGGACTTAAAGGAAGAAAAAGACTCTAATATGATAGTGGTAGGGGATCTAACACCCCCATTAACCTCAATAGACAGATCAAAAGACAGAAACTCAGCAAGGAAACAACAGAGCTCACCCAGACAATAGAACAAATGGATTAATTGATATCTATAGAACTCTACATCCTACAGACACAATACACACATTTTTCCTACATATATGAGAGTCAAAAGACTCAAATAATAAACTATTGGAACTCCTAAAAGAGTTTGATCAGTAAGCACTGTACAAAACTAGTCAACATAAATGGATGGTTCTCATAGTACATTAAAATCCCCCCCGGCTGAGAAAGAACTTATAAGAACAGTCTTTTAAAGTAATGGAGAAGAATCTTAAATATATGGGACCAAACCTAACCAAAGATGTGTGAGACCTTTATAATGAAAATTACAAAATATTGAGGCCTGCGGTCATAGCCTAGTGGCCAAATCCTGGCTTTGTAAGCCTGGGTTCCCATATGGACACCAGTTTGTGTGTCCTGGCTGCTCCACTTCCCATCCAGCCAGCTCCCTGCTTATGGCCTTGGAAAGCAGTAAATGATGAACCAAAGGTTTGGGACTTTTCACCCGCGTGGGAGACCTGGAAGAAGCTCCTGGCTTCAGATCAGTTCAACTCTGACCATTGCAGCCACTTGGGGAGTGAACTAGTAAATAGAAGATATTTCTCCTTCTGTAAATCTGCCTTTCCAATAAAAATAAACAAATCTGTATTTTAAAGAACAAAATCATAAAATGTTAAAAAAAAAAAAGAAAAATAGAAAAAGACACTAAAAGATGGAGAAATTTACCATGTTCCTGGGTTGGTAGGATCAACATAATTAAAACGTTCATATTACCAAAAGTAATACATAGATTCAAAGTGATCTCAATCAAAATCTGAACAATATTCTTTTCAGAAATAGAAAAGATGATACAAAATTCATCTGGAAACACAAGAGACTATGAATAACCTAAATTTTTCTGAAAAATAAAGCTGGAGGAATCACAACTTCAGACCCCAAGACATTACAGGGCAGTGGTTATCAATACAATCTGGTCTGGTATAGAAACAGGAGATCTATGTAGCTGAATAGAAAGCACAGAAGGCATCCCACACATGTACAGCCAAGGACCTAAATCTGCACCTAGTAACAATTATTGTTTGAGAAAACATAGGAAACACTACAAGATATAGGCATTGGTAAAGACTTCTTACAAAAGTCATCAAAAGCACAGGCAGTCAAAGTCAAAATAAACAAATGGAACTACAAAAAACTAAGCTGCATATGAGAAAGGGATCTGAAATCCTACATTTAGAGCAGCACAATCTATAGTAGCAAAGACATGGAAACAACCCAGATGCCTATCAAGAGAGGAATGGATAAAAAACTGTGGTACATTTACCCCATAGAATACTACTCAGCCAACAGAATGGTCCCATTATACATCAATCTCAAAATGCAAATACAATATGTTCTTTCTGATATAACAAAACCTTCACACAAAATACAATAATAACAGATATATAGGTAATCACGTGTATACATATATGTTCAGATGAAATGTGTAATGGAAACACTAGCTCATCTGGAAGCAAGAGAAGATACATTGCAGCATGCATCTCTACTCTAGAAAAAAGGCGGACTCCAATTGACACTTAAATATATCTTGGCAATAGGGTCCTGGACCTTCTACTTTTTTTTTAGACCTGCAAAACATGATATGCTTTAATGGAGGAATGTTGGATTTGTTATTGTTGCTGAAGGACTACATTGTTTTAATGATATGGGGGCAAAGAGTAGCAGAGGGAATGGGGGTAGAAAGTGGAATCCCTGTGCTTATGGAACTGTAGCATGAAAAATAACAACAAAAAATACAAAACTAAAACCTGAGACATTGCTAATATTTACTAAGAATTTCATTAGTCACTTTTATGTATAGTGATTTTTATATTAGCTGATAAGGAAAGTGTTTTGGCTTTTTAAAACACTATTTTCCATGTATATAAGATATGGCTAATACTATATACACCATGTTAAAGTACTGGTACAGAGAGAACACTCAGTAAAAAATGAATGTTGTATATATTATTATAACTGAACTCAGTGTTTTTAAAAAACTAAAAAGTATTGTTATGCTTTTTTACTTCCCTGGAAAAACATAGTGTGCAAAATTGTAAAAAAGCTAAATTTTTAATTTACTTTTCAAGAGTGTTTATTATTCAAATTGTTCAAGCAGTGCACACTTCCATCTCCTAGCTACCTCTCCAAATGCCTGTAGCAGCTAGTCTGTGAGGCAAAGTTGGGAGCCAGAAACTCAGTCTAGACCTTCCACCCAAGAGCAGGGACCTAACCATGTGGGCCATCACCCAATGCCTCTAGGGTTTGTACTAGCAGGAAGCTGCAGTCAGGCGTGGAAGGACGCATCTTAACTGTTAGGCTAAAGGCTTGCCCTTTAACCTTTTTTTTTCCCAATTCAGTAAAATGAACTACTCCGATACTCTCATTCTTGCAAACAAGGAAAACTGGGGTGTGTGCGTGTGTAAATGTACACTTATTTATTTTAAAAACAACTCATTTGTTTAGAGAGCAGCTTTCTTGTGGGAGCAGAAACACTGCCTGGCTTGGACCAGTGGCTGCAGAAGTGTCTGTAGCTTTTTGTTCACGGCTTGGGGGAATATTCTTGAGGTCTTCTAGGCAAAAATGAAATGTGCATTCTTCTTGTGCTGGGCCAGCTGCCGTAGGGAAGATGACAGTTTCACATAAGCTGAAACTTGGTGAAATCGTGACACCATTCTCACCACAGATTTCAGCGTGGAGACTTTTAAATATAAGAACATCAGCTTCTGGGGCTGGTACTGTGGCTTGCATGCCACTTCTGATCCAGTTTCCTGCTATAGCCTGGGAGAATCAGTGGAACAATCTTGCCACATGGGAGAGTCACAAAAATCTCCTGAACTAGCAGATGGAAGATCTCTGTCTGTCTGTCTCTAACTCTATATTTCAAATAAATGAATACAATAAAAACAACAACAACAAAAAACACATCAGCTTCAGTGAGTGGGACATGGGTGGCCAGGAGAATAGCTGTGGTGACTCTACTTCCAAAACAGGCATGACTGGACCCACTGTGATGGCTCAGTGGCTAAATCCTTGCTTTACACACGCCAGGATCCCATATGTTCATGTCCTGGCTGTACCACTGCCCATCCAACTCCCTGCTTGTGGCCTTGGAAAGTAACAGGGTATGGCCCAAAGACTTGGAACCCAGCATCCATGTGGGAGACCCCTGGAAGTATCTCCAGGCTTGGGATTAGCTCATCTCTGGCTGTTGTGGCCATTTTGGGGAGTGAGCCAACGTGTTTCTTTCCCTCTCTGTAAATCTGCCTTTCCAATAAAAATAAATCTTAAAAACAAAACAAAACAGGCAGAACTCATCTAGGTGGGGGACAACAGTGACAGCCTGAGGTGCAGGGGACCTCCTGAGAATGCTGCTTGAGAATAAACCATGAGATATGGTCCTCCTGGTGTCTTTCAATAAGCAGAACCTCCCAAACACCAGGAACAGACTGAACTCACAGAAAAGCTGGTGTTGCACACCCTACACCACAGGGACTGGCACATTCCAGCCACCTTTTCCTCCATGGGGGACAGAGCTACATGAAGGAATGAATGGCTTTCAGTTCCGGACTGAAAACTGAATGAGAGTCCTCCAGTTTCTCCTCTCTGCCCTCTACTGGCTCTTGCCGGGCAGATGTGCAACTCCATGGTCCAGAGCACCAGAACCCATCTTCACAGGTTGGATACATAGTACACCACACCATGCTGTCCCTGCATGTGCAGCTGCAGCCTGCCATCAGATTTTTGTTGGAGATAAATAGGTTGTTTCTAGGAAGACAGTTTCTGGTACCTTGTGTAATCATTCAGCTCTTTGAACTGTAAAAAGATCTATGTGATGTGTAGTCTTGAGGACGACACACGGACACCTGGTTTCCATGTATCCTCTTGATTTAAGAGCTTCTGTTAAGAATCTTTGGCGGTTGGGCTTTAAAATCAATTCAGTGTTTTTTTTTTAATTTCATTTAAATAGTTTTTTTCAAATGTAGTTAGAAGTACAAGATGGGGAGAAGGCTTGAGCCACACAAGCACTATGACTGTGTAGCACAGGTTTTGCAGTAACCATCTCAGCTATTCCCTTTGCGAACATGAGAGCCACTGACAAAACCAACCAGAATCCATTCTGCGCTGCTGGTAGTGCAGGTCCTTGTCACTTACCCTGCATTCCATAGCATTGTGCTTATTTAGGCGGTACTCACTCAGTCACCTGCAGATAGGCTAGGAAAGGGGTTGGGTGGGGTGGTTAAATTTATTTTAGTGAAAACTTCAGAACTATTTTATTTGTTGTCATAGAACCTCTTCATGATTTTAATATATAATTAATAATTGTTTTTGACATTCAGTTTTAGTTTTCATTTTGACATGAACTGTAATTACCGATATTTAAAAAACATCTCAGCTATTTAAAAATATTTATTTAATTCCTTATTTGAAAGGTAGAGTATTGGGGCAGGGAGAGGGAAGAGAGAGAATGAGAAAGAATGAGATCTAACGTGGAACTGTGTTGCATTCCCTTTATCATTACTTAAGATTTGATTTGGAATCTTTCTGGAGTTTCTCAAGGAAAGAGATCATTGTTATTTTTAAAAGATTTACTTATTTTTATTGGATAGGCAGATTAGATTCTTGGAGAGAAGGAAGACAGAAAGATCTTCCATCTGCTGGTTCACTCCCCAATTGGCTGCAATTGCCAGAGTTGAGTCAATCAAAAGCCAGGAGCTAGGAGCTTCTTCTAGGTCTCCCACACTGGGTGCAAGGTCCCAAGGCTTTGGGTCATCCGGTACTGCTTTCCCAGGCCATAAGCAGCGAGCTAGAGGGAAGCAAAACAGCTAGCACAGAAACGGGCTCCCATATGAGATATTGGCCCTGTAGCAGGACGACTAGCTGAGTCACTGTACCAGCCCCCCATGGCATTTCAATACAGCAATGCAGACTGCTGCAAAATTACCTAAAGTGTTATTTCTTTTTTTGTTTTTATTGATTACATTGCATTATGTGACACAGTTTCATAGGCACTGGGATTCCCCCTACCCCTCCCCTACCCACCCCCCCCATGGTGGATTCCTCCACCTTGTTGCATTATCACAGTTCAAACTCAGTTGAGATCCTTTCATTGCAAGCATCTACCAAGCATAGAGTCCAGCATCTTATTGTCCAGACAAGTCCAAAGGTTTCTTGGGGACACCATCTCTGGTCTAAAGGTAGAGCCGGCAGAATATCATCTCGATCAATTAAAAGCCCCAACATAACATCAGCCACAATTTATAAAGTTATGGAATTAGTTGACATGGTACCAATATGTTAAAAGAGAAAAAAAATGCAAGTTCTGAATCACATCTTGTGACTTCTACATTGACATTTCAATTATTAGTTTATATACAACTGGGTTCTATACATCTTAAAATGGCTATAGATTACTATTCAACTGTCTCGTGTCTATTTTAATTTTAGCATTCAACAGTTTATAGCGTTGAAGCATGATTTTGCTGAAACCTGGCTGTTTTTCAGGTAGTCTAACCCTATAACTCTAACAAGACATATGTCGACAGTTCTTAAGTGTTATTTCAAATGAACACAGATAAGGAATACCTAAATGTATGTTGGTTGGATAAGTAAGTAGTATTTAGAATCTTAAAACATTTTTTTACATGAAGACAACCCCCAAAAATGAAGGTTATATATTCACAAAAGCTTAATTCTATGATCCATAATAAGCTGAACTAATTTTGCATGCATTTAGTTTTTTGTTCCTTTTTCTTTTATTTATTCAAAACCCATTTTTTCCTGAAGATACATTATATGAAGTGGAGCATAATCCATGAATGCAAAAACAGGACAAATGGTTTCTGATATAGATATTTAGAGCATGAAAGACAAACAAATAAATCAAAAATTGTAATACAGGTGCTAAGAGACTTGAGTGCTTAATGGCAGGAAACAGTTTTAGAAAAGGAATAAGCAAGAGGCCAGCTTGGGCTGGTTCTTTAAATTAAAAAAAAAATCAAAATTCAGATTGCCAAAAAAGGGAGAGAGATGATAGGAAGCATGAATGAAGTTAGATTATTTATGAAGCAAGAGTTTGGAGTATAAAGAGCCCTTTAAGCAGCGGAGTGATGTTTATAAACCTTCCAGTCCTAAGATTCCAACATTTAACAGGAATAGGACTTTGTGAGGACCCAATAATTCACCTTGAAAATATAATTTAAATTTTATATTATTTACTCAACAAATTGTCAATATGACTGCTTTTCTTCATTAGCAGAAATATGTTGGAGACTACTGCCCTTCAAATATCTTATGAACACTGAACTTGATGTAATTAGGCCAAGCTGGATTTAATAATTTATTTTGGCTTACACACTAGAAGTCAAGGTCAAGAAACTTCAGTCTACGTTGTCTGTAAATGACCTAAGAATTAGTTATGCTATTCAAACAGGACTGCAGTCTGGTAGTTATTTAGGAGATCATTTTTTTTATGTAACAAACCCACTTTATTCATATTTATAATCAGCATTTGAATTCTTCTAAACTGCAAAATCATTTGAAGTGAGTTAAAGATTTATTTTATTTTTATTTGAAAATCAAGAGTTACAGAGGAAGGAGAGACAGAGAATTTCCATGCACTGGCCAACCCCTCCAATGGCCACAGGGGCCTAAGCTGATAGGATGCCAGGAGTCAAGTCAGGAGCTTCTTCTGGTCTCTAGTGTGCGTGCGGAGGCCCCAGGCCTTGGGCCATCTCCAGCTGCTTTCCCAGGTGCATTAGCACGGAGCTGGACTGGGAAGTGCAGCAGCCGGGACTCAAACCAGCACCCATAGAGAATGCCAGTGCTACAGGAGAGGCTTAATCTGCCAAGTACACTTTGGCAATGGCCTCTCCAAATGACTTTCATAATAACATTTATGTACACAGGCACAGACCTGGTTTTTGCCGTACGGCATCTCTACCAGTGGACTGGAGGGAAAAAACGTCTGCATTTCTATCAAGTCAGTTTTACCCCGGGAGAATGATCGTTTTGGTTTTGGAAGGTTCTATTCTGTAAATGAGGACATTGAGGTGGTTGGCCTCCATGGTTTCCTTTCATGCTGGTTCTCTAGAGCCTGGTACATTCGGGAGTAATCTAGCTTTTGGATTCAGGAGCACAGGAGTTCAAATACTGTGCTAATGTTCAGAATGCTACTTAATCTCCTTAATTTTGGAGAATCAGTGTATTAAAAAGTGTGTCACAGAGATACTGTGCAGATTAAATAAAGCTAGTTCATTTTCCTCCTTCCCTTACAAGTTGGTTTAAAGTTAGATTTATTTAGTGGTATGCCTCATGTACATCTCCGTTAGGTAAGTAGAGGTTTTTCACATATGTGACATCTTCAATATGCAGGCTTATTTCTTACAGAGTGAAACCTAAAAACGCTGAAGAAATAAGGGGAGAAACATGCAGCCTCTTCCAGCTTCCTCCACTCCACAATCTCACTGAAGAATCACCTCAAGATAAAGGAGTTTGGAGAAGGGAAGCCTTGCTAGTCCCCTGCGAACTCCACAGTGCAAAATATATCAAGATTAAACTGTGACGAGTGTTCAGGGCTCTGCATTTGAAAACTGCTTACATTTAACATTTCTAGGTTCAACTTATCATCATTTAAAAACAAGATCACTGCAGCAAATACTGCCAGATAAAAACCTACCCAACTTTTCAAGGCCGATAATTGCTTTTATCCAGGGAAGGATGCGCCCTCGATCCCGGTCGGGCCAGGTCGCCTCGTGCGGTCCGGCCCCCGTTCCGTCCCCGCCGCGAGCTCACCTGCAGACCCCGCTGCTGCAGACTCTGTGTGATGTAGTCCAGGCGTCGACAAACGCTCCTCTTGGCTTCGGCCGCAGCCTCCTTGGTGCTGCTCACTCTTATCGCCACCTGGGCTCGGTCGGGGCTCGCAGTCACCTCTGCAGTGCCACTCACGTGCACCTCGCGGGTCGCAGTGTGAGTCTCTGCCGAGGAGAGGGGGCGGCGAATGCCCGGCAATGTGTCTCCTCCTGACACCACATTTTCCCGGCCCCGGTCAGACCAAGGAACCAGTTCAACGAACACTCGAGACTGAGGGGCCTGTAGTAGCGACATGGCTACAGAGGCTCGGTTTCCATAGCAACAGCGCAGTGACGGCGGCCGAAGGGGCTCAGGCGCCACAGAGCTTCGCAGCGCCCGGCGCAAAGGTTGCCGGGACGGGCTCGGAGGCGGCCGAGTTTTTAAATGGCACGAGCGACAGGGAGGAGGACATTTTCCTCTAGCAATCTGCGGCTGAGGGCGTCGTTAGGGTGGATTAAAGGGTTTACCCTAAGGCCGTGTAAAATCTTGGTGGCTGTGTAAAATCTGGGCGCGTAGAACTTGAGGTCCGCCGCGCGCCCGCCGCCTCCCTGAGGAGGGAGTTGCGGGGAAAGGCGGCGAGGCCCGCAGAGCTTTTACCTCAGGGTTTGGCCTGGTGTGTGATGGCTCCCAGCCATGTCTCCGTGACTAGCCTTCCCGCGCCTGGCTGGCCTTTGCTCTTCGAAATCTTTTTTGTTTGCGGGCCCCAGCTAATACTATTCGTCACATTTGCAGAGTGGCCGTGATTTCCAAAGCTCCCAGATTTTCCTTAGCCTTGAACGTGGGCAGGGGAGATTCAGGCGAGATTCAGGCGAGGTCAAAGCACACAAACAATGACTTTGCTGGACCTGTGCAGCTTAGACCTTGTCCGCACCTTTTCTTTAGCGAGCTTCCGTAATACAGCCCTCAGCTCCTCTCTCCAAGGCCCCGTTTAGGTGAGTTTTCTTTCAGTAAGTGGCAATTTGTGTAAAAAGTAGATCCCTCGCTTGCCCCAACCCCATTACTACCGAAATTGGATGAGAATTGAGGACCGAGAGAGAATTTTGTCTTTTTAAAAAAAGGCTAGAACTATCAATAATCTCTCGAAAGAAGCCAGAAAGAGCCAAATGAGAATATTCATCTCTCTTTTTTTTTTTTTTTGTCTGGCATTAGTGAGATATTTCAACTAAATCTATTGCTGTCGCCCCTCCCCGTAATTTGGTTCATCACAGTTTTAACACAATTTTGTGTATTTTAATGCTATTGTTAGGCAGAAACAATCATATCCAATATAATTTTCATATTAAAAACTTTAAGAGTTTCCCCAATAGTTTTTACAATTTAAGATATGCAAAGCAGTATTTCTTAAATTTTTTTGAAATTTATTTTTTTCTAAAGGTAAGGAAAAATACAGCTTTCAAAATGAATCACTGAATGAATGAAGGTCATAAGCAAATAGGATAAGTAGGATATGATAAGATATTTCACATCAGTGAGAAAATGAATAAATAGGATAATTGGTTGGCTACGTTAAAACATGTTCTACATCTTATGTAATTGAAAATAATATTCAAATGAGACCAAAACCAAAAAAGAATTAAGAGAAAAATGCAGATTAATATGTAAATACAGTGTGGGTGGTGGGAAGACCTTTGTTAAGCATAATTTCAAATGCACCAACCAGAAAGGAAAAGTTTGCAAAATTTGTTATTTAAAAAAAAATGTCATTGTATAAAACAAAATTAAGAGAGATGGAAGGAATGAAATAAAACGAAAGATGTATTTGTAACTTTTATGGGCTACTATTATGTAGATATGTTTTATTGGAAAAAACAGATACCGCAAAAATAAATATGTAATGAACACAAAAACAAACTGCTAGTATTCTAGCTACCATAATAAAGATGCCCATACACTTTGAAGCCCGAGCAACACAAATATACTTCCTTACAGTTTGGGGATGTGAAACTCTAAAGTCAGGATGTTAGTCTGTTTTCTTTTGAGCCTTCTTCTGTTGGTTTGTAGAAGGCTGTTTTGAGTCCTTAAATGACCATGCTTCTGTGCAGAAAATACTACAATATATCTTTCTCTTATAAGGAAGCCTGTTCCATTGGATTAGTGCCCTGCCTTCATGGTATCATTTAACTTTACTTACCACTTTAAAGATCCTGTCTCCAAATCCAGTCACATTGCCATGTGGATTTGAGGGGCACACAATTCAGCTTATAATACAGACTAATAAAGCAGAATACTAAAGTCTTTACTAGTTGAAGAAATGCCCATTTAATGACGATGGGTTATCACTATTTTGACCTATCACTCTGTAAAGTAATAAAGACAGAATGGAGAAGAAATAGAATAGTGGTTCTGAAGCATCAGTGGATTATTTCTGGGTAACAGAATTATACATAAAAAAGAAGCATAAGCTGAAACTGATTCAGATTTCAGTTTTCCTTTCCTTTTTTTTCCTTCTTCTTTATTTTAAGATTATTTATTTTGTGGGAGAGGTAGATTTACAGAGAGAATGAGAAACAGAAAAATCTTCCATCCACTGCTTCACTCTCCAGATGGCCACAATGGCTGGAGCCACTCTGGTTGGAACCCAGTAGCTTCCTCCAGCTCGCCCACGTGAGGGCAGGGGCCAAGGCTTTGGGCCGTCTTTTGCTGTTTTCCCAGGCCATAGCAGGGAGCTGAATGGGATGTGAAGCAGCCATAACATGAACCAGGATCCATTGGCCTACTAACGCTTGAATGTGGAGCATTAGCCAATTGTGGCATTGTGCTGATAAACTGACTGTTACAGAGTATTTCTATTCATTTCACAGTGAAACAGTTTTTTAGTCAAACTGATATCCTAAAAATTATTTTGAATAAGGTGATTCTATATCAACTTGATTGGACCAAGAGCAAGCACCTGGTTCAAGCTGGGCCAGTTAGACATCTGACATTCTTTATACAGAATTTCAGAAATTCAGTCTTACATACCTGAGCCATGACACATGTGCTTTATAAGAGAATGGAAATGGGTTTGGTGCAAACATTTTTGCAACTTGTACATAAGGTTTTAATTATATGCATTTGCATTGGAACTTTCAAAGCCCTTTTATGTAAAACTGAGGTAAGTGGCTCTTTTTCCTATGCAGAGAAATAGAAAAAGTATATAAGAAAAGCGAGAAAAATGAGAGAAGGAAATATATTCAAAGAGAAATGGAGTTATGATGGACTGCCCAGTTGAAATTTCAGTTTCTATTATTAGAATTTTCCTTAGACCTCATTTCATTTCTATAGTCTTATAAACTATTCCTATGACCTTAACATAACTCTCTCCCTTTTACATAAGTAGATGGACTTAACTTTATGTTATTTTAAAACTAAGAATATTGCTTGATAAATTATGATGGAGAAGAGAGAATTCAAGACTGACTTGTAGATCTTTCAGCCTTAAGAAATACAGAAGGGAAGCTGTTACACAAAAATGGTCTCTAGATGCAGTGTTAAAAGATTCACCATTTGGGTAATTTTTCTCTTTCCATTACATTCCATGACATCTTAAGTGATGTTGTCATGCAACTGCTTTCCATTTTGGATTGGCACCCTTTTATTGAGCCAACCTACCATTAGAATTCACACTTTTTTCTCTTTCTTCCAGTGGCTATATGTATGGTAAGCTCCAAAAAACTATTGATGTGAATAGGAGCAAGTGTTTTGGTGCAATCTTGGTGGTGGCAGCTGCTCTAGGCTACTTGCTTATGCAGCTCACTTGTGTTCTGTGGTCCTGCACACATTTGGAGTCCAAGTTGTATTATTTTTATCTTTTTAAAAATTACTTATTTTTAAATTTAATTTATTAGGTCTATCTGTTGGTTCACTCTCCAAATCTCTACAACAGCCAGACTTAGGTCGTGCAAAAGCCAAGACCCAGTAACTATCTCAATCTCCCACGTGGGAGATCCCAAGCTTCCCAAGTGGAAGCTTAACCTGTAGCACTGCAATGCCCAGCCTTTTATTTTCATCTTTAGATAACTTCTGCTGAGCTGTATGACTAATTTGGAGTGCCTGGCAAGACCCACCTTATGATTAGAAATTCTGAACAACTCAAAGAATAAAAGTCACAGGTGTTGGAAGAAAAAGATGTTATGTATGTCAAATGCTGATATGGGAAAAAGGATGGACACCTATATGTACATATGAAACTGTCCCTTAAGAATGAGAGTAAAATATTTTCAGACATACAGATTAAAGGAATTTATCACATCCAGACTATCACTAAAATATTACTATATCACCTGCCTATATAACATTAGTAAACTTAAAAAAAAGGCACGGCACAAAAGAAACAACAGTACTCACAGGAACTGGTAAAATTCATCCAGAATCTTTCTAAATGTGACCACTATTGAATATGATTTGATTTCTGTGTGAATCTAGCTATACAAAAAGTGAAACAATCAACACCATTAGAATGGAGGAATGATATCCTTTGCATTTAATTAAACTGTCTTAATGTCCTTAACTTGTTCCAAAAGATGCCAGACGTATGGAATCACTTTATACTTTGTTATTATATTTATGGTTAAGTAGCTATAGAAAATATGTTAGAAAATGAAGAATTGAAAGAAGGTAGAAAATAAAGCTTAATAAGATACAAGGAAGATTAAACTGTTTTTGCAACAACAGTTTGTAAAAAATGAACATCGATTATTTGAAGGGTAAACAAATCCACTCCGTTCACTGGCTCACTCCTCAAATGTCCATAGCAGCCAGGGTTTTGGCCAGGTTGACCAGCTGCCAGTAACTCAGTCCAGGTCTCTCACATAGAATCATGATTGATGTCTCTCACTGTGCACATTAGCAGGAACCTAGCATTCATAGAGCTGAGTCAGAAACTCCGATATGGCATTTAGGCATCCTAAGTGATGTCTGCCCTATGCTCAGCACCTACTCTCACACTCTGTAAAATTTTCAAAGAGATAAAAGCGATCAAGTAATGCAGGTCAAAAAACTGAGGACGGGGACTTGGCTGTTGAACATGATATCTTAGTGGATTATTATTGCCCTTGCAAAAATATTTTAATGAGAACTAGAAGACAGAGAGCTAAGGAATGAGAGAGTTGAGAGAGTAGAAAGAGAAAAAAGTGATAAATATTTGTTAGTGTCAGCTGAAGTGAGGCTTTTTTTTTTTTTTAAGAAAATATAGTTAGATTCAGACTTTTGAGAACTGAAGAGAGAAAATATCCTATCTTATCTCACAAATAAACTGGACTCTGGAAATAGCTTTC